TTCTGGTCCATGGACTATGCATACATGCATATATGTTCTTTGGTTTATCTCTTTCCCCACTCCCTTTCCCCTAAATTACTTCGGTTTGTTCCATGTTTCTATGCCTCTTGTTCTATTTTATTCATCTGTTTACTTTGTTCATTAGATTCCTTGTTGTTTATTTTGACTTTAAGATTCAATTGTTGATAGATTTATTGTCATTTTATTGTTCTTCTTCTTTTCTTCTTCTTCTTCTTCTTTTCTTCTTCTCCACCCTTCAACATTTCATTTGTTCTAAATACTGGTTTAGCGTTTTCTTGTCTGGGAAGCTCTTTATCTGACCTTCAATTCTAAATGATAGCTTTGCTGGGTAGAGTAATATTGGTTGTAGGTTCTTGCTATTCATCACTGTGTATATTTCTTGCCACTCTCTTGTGGCCTGCATCGTTTCTGTTGAGGAATCAGCTGACAGTCGTATGGGGGCTCCCTTATAGGTAACTAACTGTTTTTCTCTTGCTGCTTTTAACCCTTGGCATTTTAATTATGATGTGTCTCGGTGTGGGCCTCTTTGGGTTCCTCTTGTTTGGGACTCTGCGCTTCCTAGACTTGTAAGTCTATTTCTTTCACCAGGTAGGGGAAGTTTTCTGTCATTATTTCTTTAAATATGTTCTCAATATCTTTCTCTCTTCTTCTTCTGGCAACCTCATAACGTGAATGTTGGGACCCTTGAAGTTGTCTGAGAGGCTCCTTACACTATCTTCATATTTTTGGATTCTTTTTTCTTTTTGCTTTTCCGGTTGGGTGTTTTTTGCTTCTTCATATTTCAAATCTTTGACTTGATTCTTGCGATCCTCTAGTATGCTGTTGGATCGCTGTATAATATTCTTTATTTCAGTCAGTGTAATTTCTTAATGCTTAATTTCTTGATTGGTCCTTTTTCATATCCTCGAGGGTCTCACTAGACGTATTGAGGGTTTCTAGTATTTATTTCATTTGTGACATGTTTCTTTATCTCAATAATTTGGTTGCTTCCCTATGTTTGTTTCTATGTATTAGGTAGAACTGTAATGTTTCCTGGAGTTGATAGAATGGCCTTGTGTAGTAGGTGTCCCATAGAGCCCAGTGGCTCAGCCTCTCCAGTCTCCTGAGCTGGACACTCTAGATGCACCCTTTTGTAGACTGTGTGCACAGTTTTGTTGTAGTTGAGACTTGATTGCTGTTGGTGTCACTGGGAGGAATTCACCTTCAGACCAATTGGCTATGAGTACCAGCTATGACTATAGTGGGAGACCTGCTGTGCAGGAAATACCCCTGTGGAGCAGGACTTGCTTCAGTAAGGTGGTGGTGCTCACTGAGTCTGCTCCTTCAGCGTGTTGCTTGTTGAGGTGTAGAGTTGTAATCTAGTATGGTCTGAAACTGTCTACCAGGTGCACAGGTTCTTGGGTCTCCAGGGAGATGCAAAGTCAGCCACTGTCTGGGGCCGTCCCGCAGGAGCTACAGAAAGATCTGCAGATTTCTCCTATTTGTATCAGATTTAGAAGTGCCCAGGCGAGGCCCAGCTGTGAAGCAAGGCAGGCTGGTGCTGGGTCTTGGGCATTTTATGGATAGGTTTGGGGCATGCTGACACCAGCTGCAGCTTGTTTAAGAGATTTTAGCAAAGTGTGAAGCCTGAGCCAGGACAGGCCATTCATATGGAAAAACTGCTGCAAACAGCTTGGGTGGGGCTGCAAATTGAATGGGGTGGGCTCTCAGGGAATCACTAGGGTAGGGAAAACAGTGTGTTCCAGGTTGATGGGGACTCAGATATGGTTTCCAGTCAGCCCTGGGACAGGGGAGGTCTTGGCATAGGAACAATGACCTCTGCAAGCACCTCTGACTGATAGAAAGCCACCCCCGAGTTCCTACCCCAATGCCAGACAATTCAGTTCCTCCCCATATGTGTCTGGATCCCCTAACTTCTCCTGGCACTGGAGCTCAGAAGAAACAAGTCTGAGTAAGTTCATGCCTGGTCCTTTGAGAGGGACACCTGGGTCGTGGGCAGCCTTCATATCTCTCAGCCCCAATGCCCACTGGTTTTTACAGCCCAAAGTTACAGGGACTTCTTTTTCCAGCTCTGGGGCCCTGGGTAGGTGGTCTAGTGTGGGGCTGGGACCTCTTGCTCCTCATAGCAGCCTCCGCAGGGACAATCTCCCTCTGGGTTAAAAAAATGGCCCCCCTGGGTGCCTGACCAGCCCAGTCTGAGCCTCTGTCCCTCCTACCAGTTTCAACGTGCTTTTTTATTTACTTCTCTAGTTGTAGGACTTCCATTCAGCCAGCTTACAAAATTAGTTGTAATTTTGATGTGGTGTTGTGGGAGGCGGCAAGTACTGGTGTTTACTTATGCCACCATCTTGGTTCTCAGTAATAGAATATTGAATCAACCACTTATGGAGTGAAAAATTTACCATGGCTAAACAATGTCTATTTTACCAATGAAAGATACTAATAATGCCATTTTAAATACATACATTTTTGCATATGTTATAATTTGACTAACCAGTAAGCATAATAAACATTTAAACTTTTTCTAATGTTTTGATATTTTAATACCACCATGAATGATCACTGTTTCTGAGAAGAAATCTACTTCCTTATAATATTTTCTGTGAAATGTTATTCTTTACCCTTACTTTAAGGTTCTATTCAAGGACTACCTATGGCATGAAACCATCCTTCAGTCTTCTTGTACAAGGAGTCTTAAATTATTTTAATTACAGATTGATTATCAATACAAGGTTTAAGTATACCATAAGTGTTTTTTGTTTGTTTATAAATTAGTTATGTATATGTCTACTCTTCACATTTTTATTTACCTAGCATGTAAGTTATAAAAAACACAACTTGAGCCCAACCAGCATGGCTCAGTGGTTGAAGGGTCAACCTATGAACCAGGAGGTCACAGTTTGATTCCCAGTTAGGGCACAGGCTTAGTCCCTAGTAGGGGCATGCAGGAGGCAACCCATCAATAATTATCTGTTATCATTGATGTTTCTATCTCTTTCTTCCTATCCCTTCTCTCTGAAATCAATAGAAGTATATTTTTTTAAAAATGACAACAAAAAACACAATTTGACTATGTGCTGTTAAATGTTGAATGCTGATTTTTTAAAAAAAATTATAACTCTATTCCCTTTGAAAAAATTAACTCTCCTGAAGCAAAGTTCTTAATTTGTCTCATCCTTACTGTACAACAATGCCAAGAATGTAATTACCCAATTATTAGTTTACTTATATCAGATTTCTAATTACTGTCACAATTGCTGCATCTTGTCCCCTTTTATAACCAGGGTAACTTTTCCCTTTGTCCAGTGACAAGAAGAGGTCTGGGTTATAATTGAGTCTAAATGTGTTTGCTATTTCAGGTAACATTTAGTGATGTGGCCATAGACTTCTCTCATGAAGAGTGGGGATGGCTAGATTCTGTTCAGAGGGATTTATACAAGGATGTGATGGTCCAGAATTATGAGAACCTGGTCTCTCTAGGTAAGCATATTACAATTTGCTTACTTCTACCTCCACATCAACGGGGG